CATGGTGGTGTTGGGTTGACGGTTGGACTCGATGATCTTGGAGGTTTTTTCCAACCTTAATGATTTTATGATTCTATGATTTTCATACACCACTTTAAGTGGGCACATGCCACAGTAGGCTCTGTATGCTAATGCCCCATATGACAAGATGGAGTCAGGAGGAGTTTACAGTATAAAAGTACATCTAAAGGAGATAACCGCAAGTAAATACAGATGTAAAATGATCATGGTATCAGTGGTGTGTTTTTTTTTTTAAAACCATTTCCTTGTTTGCAAGGTCTGCTACCCTGGTGTGTCTGTGCCTGTCGATCTGCATGAATCACAAAAGGGGATTCATATCTGCCATCTCACTTGCCCAACTTGAATAAAGCAGGTGCTGAAACCCCCAAGCAGGAATACTTTCGTTTTCATAAGAAAGGGTCCTCAGGAACCTTTTCTACCTTTGCAGTGAACTGAACCCCTGGTTTTGAATTTCAGGCTTTAGAGTTGGCCACCCAGCATCAGACCAGCCAAGACACCATTCTTTCCTGATTACAATGTAAGCAGTCCTTTCATGGTGTAGTAGCTAAGTGGAAACTTCTCTTGGATAAAAAGTGCTTCACAACCACTCCCGTGAAAAAAGTGGGGTTTTGTTTTATTTTTTGGAAACCACTGATTTTCAGTTGACACTAAGCAATTTATTTGTGGAGTTTACAGCACCAGACTGGACTATTATTAAAATGAGTACTTGAATAGTCTTTCTAAAGTATAGCCAAAAGTATAGAATAAGGAGTGAATGTTTTACTTCGCTGACTGTAATTCTGACTAGCTGAATATTTAAGAAAAAAATTTCATATTCCAGAGACTAAATGCTATAGGTCCATGAACACGAGTGTTTATTGTCTCCTCTCCCCTTTCTAACATTACTGCACTTTACCTAATTTATTCTGTTGGGTTGGTAGGTTTATCACCACTTTTGTATGTCTCCTTACTGAACTTATATATTCTCTTCTGAACTACAGAAAGAGAAGTGTAGCAAAGGCTGTTGTTAACTATCTTGACACATTTTTCTCATGAATATAAAATACTTTCTGGAAAAGTCAATCCTTTTGTGATTGAAACAATTTTAGAATAGAATCACTAGTTAAATGTCTTTTCAGCTGATTTTGTGAAGCGTGTGGAAGTAAAAAATTTATTACTTCATAAAAGGCAATATGGAAAAAAAGAAAGTTTGTTTTCCTATTTCTGCTTATCCAACATCGCAACGGGATTTTTCCCAAACTGTCTAAACAGGGTGTTGCTCCTACTTTTATTAATCACCATTCAGAAATTGTAAATTCCACTTAGTAGAAGAATTTGGATTCCCTCAAAAATTCACAGTGACTCAAAGTAAAAAGTTGCATCTGAAACTTCCTTGAAAGGAGGAATATTTCTCAAGAATTCAGTACTGGTTCTTCCAAGAGTCTGGTCCAACTCCTCCAGCTGCCCACTTGGCAAGAAGCCACGTAAGTTGGCAGGAAGGCTGCCAGCTCGCCTACCCTATTTTCCTCTGATGTGATGAATGGCTTTACATCTTCTCATTAGGAACCGTTGACATGTCTCCGTTTTGTCATGCACTACACAGCTGAACTAGCCATGATGAATCTCAAACAGCCCCCTCCTGCTTGGAAAACGCACTTATTCTGAAACGCATTGCTTTATAATACACACCAGAATGAAATGGCAGCTGCATGCTTTTGAGAATAACTGTGTCCCATACCAACTAGTGCAGAGAGACCAAATATATTTTGGGAATGCAAAGCTCTGATCAAGAATCATGACTGAGCCGTCACCTATCAGTATTTCGCTGTCTAAGGGCAAAATGAAGCAGTGCAACATAAACTGACACTTCTGAGTACACTGAACTGTGTGATACGTTAAATTATTATTTAGCTCTGACTTTCTGAACACTAGATCATTTGTCAGCTGACCTAACAAAAACTTGTTAACACAATGTTGAAATCACAAGCAATGAAAGACAATCCTTGCCCTTGGATCTGAAAACATATGTTTAGAAAAAGAAAAATCTGAAAATTTCTGGAAGCTTAAAGGCAAAGTTTGTTGCTTGGAGCCAGCAAACAGCAGGCCTAGATGGTTCAAGTGAGCATTGTACCCACAGATGTTACCATGCCTGAGTTACAGCTCCGATTATTCACATACTTTCGCCACACTGGTTGTCTAGTGACAAAACCCCATAGCTAAATTCATTATGGGGCTCTCGTCACGTTGCCTAGCGATTAAAGTGATTATGATTAAAAAGTGTCCTTGAACATAACTGGATGCATGTGCACACTTACAGGAGGCTTCTCACGGCGCAAAGTTCCCATTCAACTCAGCTTGATTTTTGTGGAAAACCTGCACTTATTTTAGCAATTCAATCCACGATCCACTTGATATAAACACAATTGACCCACACATGCAGCAGACGGCCAGCAGAGACAGGTGAGTGGTGTTTTATGCTAAGCTATGTTAAAGTATTGTCTCTTAAAATATATCAAAATCTGAAACCGTGAATGTACAGGCAACAAGAAGACTTAGAGCAAGTATGTCTGTTGATCAACACTGAGAGGCAACCATATACTAAGGCAGAAACAGCCAGTGTACCTATGAGATACTAAACATCAGCTAGCAAAAAAACCTCAACACAAAAACCAATCCAAAAATCCACCTCCAACTGAAAAAGTCCAAACAAATTAGATGGTAAATCTCAGTTTCCACTTTCAATCTCAGGATGCTGCTGTTTTACTTTTTCTGTTAAACTAGATATATTGGAACAAGTAAGTATTAGACAGGAATAATAACCAAAATTCATGATGCAGTAAGCCATATTTCATTTCATTTTGTTGCAACATCAGAAATACATTGCACTCCCATTTGCCTGACAATAATAAAAGCCCATCTGCTTCTCTTGACACTTAGCTGCTTATCTTCAGGTCAAAGTTTTGTTAGCCTGGCTGCATCAGAAAAAATAATTTCCTTAAAAGGAAAACAGCTTTTGTAATTTGCAAATCTGCTAACAAAAGTTCAGAAAAGCCATACAAAAATACTGTTTCCAGACTTAAAAAAAGTTTATTAAGAAAGATTGTATCAAAAAGATAATGTGATAAAAACACTGGCTTCCTGATACAGGGTTCTGAAACACGTCGATGTGTTTCTCAGTACCATCTACTAAGAAATGCAGCAACTTCTCAAAGGATTTTCCCAAATGTCAGGAAGAAGAAAAAAAAACCCCAACAATGCACAACAATAGTATAGAAAATAATTAAAATCTAAAATGCTTGTAGGACTCTGAAAACAGTCGTAGATCCACGCTTTTCACAAAAATACAATTTATGAAAAATAAGCAACTTGCTGATCTCAGGAGTACTTTACAATCACAAGATAGTATCTTCCATCTGATATTGCAATTATTAGTCAAAAACTGAGTGAAACTAGTCTGGCTACGTCCTGTGTCACAAAACTCATATAACTGCACTTTCCTGAGCTGCATAATATGTATGTATCAGCTTGACTTTGTCCTAAATTTAATGTGTCCTTACATTGCATCTTAGAGCACAGCAAATATAACTAATAACAAGCAGATGAACTATCTACTTGATATTGAAAATCAAGCTTTTTAGTGTAATACATGTAAAGATGGCTGATAAAGAATTAGAGGAAGACGTACTCAAACATAACTATTATTATGAACTTTACTTCATAAATTATAAGGACTTCAGTAATTCTATAGGAAGTCCATTAGCTTATTTTACTATTCCAGTGAATAGAACACTTTTCTTTTTTTCAGAAAGAAGTCACTGTTTGTGCTTGGGGTTATTACAATGTCAATATTCTTCCCACGTTAGTACTATGATTAACACAGTGATTTCATACTCCACACAGGCAAAAGCTGTGTAATCTCAGTATTATCTGTGACGAAAGTAAATGTTGACTTTAATCTGCAACATTATGTGTATCTGTATGCACCAAGTACATACAAACAGCGGTTGCCTTTAAAAAGTCGTAATTTGCTGACAGCTGTCACACAGAGATGTCAAATTACCATCATTTTTCCAAATAGTTCAAAAAGGAGATCTCTGCAGTCGTGTGGGAAGACTGGGAGGTGCTTGCTTTTTTCTTTTCTTTTTTTAATAGATTCTTCTGTAGAAGTGCACAGCAAGAAACTATCAACAATGGGGAGTAAGGGGTGCAGTTCCACACATTTTGCTAATTTTAAACACACAAACCACTGCTTTCACCAACTGAAAGTTAAACATCCTATTTAAATGTAATCTACTAAAGTGTTTTAATGTTGTAAAGTGCCACAAAGATTACGGGAATGGCACAGAAAACCCCACAAAGCATTCTAACTATGGGGACAAAAGTTTATTTATTTGAATGTATATACTGTCCCTTATCTTGAGTTCCCTTTACTGTGGGACCACAGGCAAAGCACAGCACAAAAAGCACGCTCTTTTGCTCACTCTCTCTGCACAACTGAAGCAGAGGAAGGAACTGAATGGCAAATGAAGTGCTTGCCTTTCTTCTTTTCTCCCCCAGAGAGTAGGGTCAACTCTAGGTTAAAGTCATTGGTAGGGCAGAGCAAGCATGCCTACTGTACAGCTTTCAGATATTACCTAACTTTCACATCAGGGATGTAAAACAAAGCAGGTTCTCAGCTGATAACCTCCTGGAGCTGAATATCACATTTAAGAAAATGAAAGACGCGATTATCCATGTTTCTGAAGCCGGTTGTTAAATGTGTCTGTGACTGTAGGTTGTCGTCCCAATTTTCTAATATTAGCTGTCAATCCACAAAACATGGACATGATGAAAAAGGTATTCTTAGCACACAGAAGACAACTTAAGCTCCTTTACATTTGGCCATTTATTTTTCCAATGCATTTAAATTAGGAGCTCATACGTAGGAGGTGAAATACATGCACTTCAGATACTGTCTATCTGCAGCTAATTTTGCCACTACTCCCTCTTGACAAACTTACTTTGGTTTCTCTCAGCAGAAACTGCAAATCCCGCCCACTGAGTATACCATGGTTTTTCACGTAGCCGGGAATATAAATAGTGCTTGTCCCATGAACAGTTCCGTGGACTTCCATATAGGTGTGGATGATGTCCAGATAAGCCTTCTTATCCTGTAATAGCAACAATAAAATATTTTCAGTTTTTACACATTTCAAGCAGTAGCGTTCAATCAGAGCTGGTTTTTAGGTCCTGTACCACAAAATCCAGAAAGAGAAGTTCACTCATTCTTACATGATTTCTGTAATATTTGATCTTTCATTACATTATTAGTTTTGTTTTCTACTAGATTGGAAGAAAACTGCAGCTTTTTTATCCATAGTATAGGTATAAATCAATCAATACTGAAGTCCTATTAATTTCTAATTGAACAAAAAACAGTCACCATCAGATAGCTGTCATCTCAGCATGCCTAAACGATACTTGGCCTAAAAATACTAAAAAACTCATCTTGATATATCAAATTTCCGCTCTGTTTTTGTCAGAGGTGCAAAAGAATTAGTTATTGTTTATCTTTGTGAAGAAAAGGGTGAATCTCACCTTAGTAAGATGCACTCTTGCCAACTGAATACACATCTTTATCTAAATACCTAGTATCTGAGTCTCAGATATGTAGATATCATGTGATATCTACAAATATTCCACTTACCTAAAGTTTTTGAGGCATTTTGGTAAAGGCCCAGAGAAGAGTAATGGCTTTAGTGTTGCATTAAAAAAAAAAAAAAAAAAGTGCACCATCCTAGTTTGCAAACAAGAATTACTTTAATTTTCAATGCCATATGTTTTTTGAGTTTTAAAGACTACTAGCATTCCAAAAGCAATTAGCTGTAGACTGTATTTACAGCCAGTATGCAGCACAGATCAGAGAGACTCTCCCTCAATATTTGCACATAGTCTTAGTAATAGCTCTAAAATCAGGCAACAAGTTTCTGTACTTCTTGGCAGCAAGAGAGTTTTTAAGAATTCTACTTTCACTCACTGTTTTTGTCATGTAAATTCCGTACACTGTTCCTCCACAGCCCTGTGTGAAAGCTGGCCAACAATTTTACTGAAGTTCATTCAAAGGGCAGGTAGACTGGTGAAAATCCTGTCTTTTCAAATCTTGGAGGAGCAATAAGGTATCAGGCCTAGGTGAATGAACACTATCGCTTCTTAAAACTTCCTTGCTAAATTAATTGTTGGTATACATTTGAATACACAGGGTATTTAATGTCACATAACAACTGGCTTCTAGCTTTAGCTTGCTGTTTGTGATGAAGTAGATTGCCTGCCTCATTATTAAATCGCCCTGTTCTGGTAGCTATGCCAAGACTGCACCAGTCAGACAATGTCCTGGGCTAAGTATTATATAAAACAGCCAACAAATGGAGACAAATGTGCTTTCTTGTTTGATGTGGTTGCTGCTATTGTTAATTAACACAAATTATTTAAAAAACTAAAAGCTTGCTCCATTTTTTATTTTTCCTTTTACTTAAAATCCGAATTACTCTGAAAGAGATGTTCCTGCTATTATTTCTAAAGTAAAGTAGCATAACTAGAAACTGTTGAGAAGCTCATATACTTTGTTAAGAGGAAGTCCATTGAAGAACTTTTTCTTTGCAAATGTGCAGGACAAATATAAATGGAGTAGCCTGGTCTTGATTCCAGAATACAGCAGCGGTCTGTCGCTAGAGGCACACCTTAATCCTGCCTGCCTGGCTTTCAGTGCAAACAGAGCCTATGAGTTCGGCTTTAGTGTTCTGAATGGGAAGAGAAAGCAATGAAGCACAGGTACTACTGACACGATCTGCCTACAATAAGAACACTAATGCACTTGCCTCAGATTTTATTGGCTCCTATCACACAAATTGATGACATGAATGCACTCTTAACTCAAGAAAAATAGGAGAACCAAGCAGCTAGAAAGAACAAAACCAGGATTACTTAAAATTGCACTTACTTATTTTAACAATTTCAATGACAATTTTACAAACCTGTTACAGAAGATTTAGCTGCTCTCAAATAAAATATTTGACATTAAAAATATTTAGTCTTTACAATCTTTCTAATGGTTCCTGAGGAACTGCATTATTGGCTGTAGGACTGTTGAAGATTTTATATAGGTTCAAAAGCAATTATGGAAGAAAAATCCATGAATCATTATTGAACAGAGACACACGACTTCTGGCCCAAGTCCATGAACCACTTGTTTCTGGTGGCTGTGAAACATGCCTGATTTTGTATTCTTCCTTACACATCATGTTTTGGCTATTTTTGGAGTTAGAATACTGGACTAGATAAATCTTTGATCTGAACTGGCCTTGTTGCCATCTTATTATCTTTATTAGCTCATTTTCAAAGCTGAATGTAAAATGGACCAAAAGAAATGTAACATTTTCACGTCTCCTGTTCACATGTGATGCCAACAAAAATCTAGTGGGATTCTGAGAAGTATCTGTGAAGTTCGTTGGTTAAACTCTGCTGGAAACACTCTTTGATACATACAATGGACCTTGAATTTAGCCCAAAGTATTCCTCAAATCATCTTGTTAATAACAAAGTGAATCTTCCTACTATATCCATGTGCTGTCCTCTATAAAAATACCAGCACTTGATGAGTACAAAACAGGGAATACAGGATTTTTAAAAAAAGGATTATACTAAGATAGGAGGAAAAGAACAGGCTTCCATGCTGTATTTACAGTAGTACTTTTGGGGGGCAGAGGGAGGGTTTTTACTTAAATCCTTAAAGTTACAAAAACGTAATAAATTTTACTAATAAATTCAAATTAACTGAGCAGACATACAAGTTCTATTTAAAATTAATATATCACCAATCAATACAATTTAGGAAGACGAAGCAAAAGCAGTGATAAAATCAGCGTGTTTTAAGCATCTCTGCAAATGCAAATAAAACATTAAATTAACTATCCATAACCTTAATTGGGAACATTACTTAACCATATGACTGACTTCTTTTCTGATTCAGAGTCTAAAACCACAGATAAAACATTTAGTGTCCCTAACAGCATCAGTTCTTCCATCCATAATATTTAGAAAAATAACGGACTTTTAAATGGTGTCACTGGGTTTCCACCTCCACAAGATAAGGTAACTACTGTAGACTGCGCTATAGAGTCTATAGAAATGATTTTTCCCCACAAAGGAAACCTTATAGATAGATAGACATAAGTAGAGGGATCAATATGTAAAAATTTTATGAATTAGTTTTCAAACCACAAGAGTAAAAACATGAAAAACAACACACACAAGCTGGGAAAAATCTTTCATCCCCCAAAGGGCTACCCTCTTTCTTTTAATCAAAGGAAATTTTTAAAGAACAATTGGAACCGAGAGCAGCATCTTCCCTTTGTTCCCTGTACATAAACAATTGTTCTTAATTTTTCCAAAAGTCTTTCTTTCTGAAGGAAACAAACAAACAAACAAAAAAAGCCCAACCAAAAACTCAGAAAGCACAACCCACAAAACAATCACTCCTTTATTCCCTTATTCATTTTGAGTGAAAAGCTACTGCTTTCATAATCATCTATAGAGTACTATAAAAATACTGTCAGCACCTTATACCCTACACAAATCCCACTAACATTTGTCTCCTTTTGCATTTAAGTAGTTCTGAATTTCCACATTCGTTGTAGAAAAGTGTTATTTTGGATCATAAAAGTATATATTGCAATAAGCCACTTCACAAAAATGATCAGGGCACATAATTAAATTCTAAACATTAAAAACATTAAATTAGAAAATGAGAGCGCATAAATATGGTATTTATAAATAGAAAGGCTACAAGTAAATAAATCAAGAAATATGATTTGCAAACAAAATATCAACATCCCTTCTTCAGCTGCTCATCCACTTCCTGAGTTTGCTTGCTTGGCTGCATATATAAATATTCTTTTATCTTAAATCATTTGACCGTAAACTCCAGATTTTTACTTTCTCCAAAATGAATTCAAAGAGAAAAGATCATGTGCTGCTGGCTAGTAATGCAAAAAATCAACATTCTCTGCAGAGTTTGAATCAGACTGCGCTATTCACCCATGTCTGCTCTCCATACTGCAAATCTAGACTTCGAGGGTGGAAGACAACCGCATCAAAAAAAGCAGCAAATTATTTCTCCTCAGAAGCAAAATGGAAGAGTAACGGTGAATAACAGTCATACAAACCTTTTCTGAAACAATTTTTCAGCAGCTAAAATACACATGCCATTCGGGGAAAGTACTTTTTGTTGATCACTGACTGCAGAACTGTTATTACTGTTCATCAATTATTTCCACCTACTTTTAAAAGATAGGCCTTTCTCATCAAAGAAATCAAATGACAGCTGTATGGTTTTTTTCCTAAGACAATGTTGAGAAGAATACACAGTCTGAAGGGCTGAAATTTTAAGTTTGGTGGGTGAAAAATGTAAGTATAAAAGCTACAAAAATATGTGGTAGAAACACAATGCATTAAGAACTAAACTCTGCTTTTAGTTTTCTTGATGTGGTAGATGGTGGTAATTAACAACTCTGCTTTACAATCATTTTGTCAGTCCAAGGTTATCACATTATTTTGCAATTTTAGACCATTCTGGTACCCTCACGGAACACCAGAAATTCAGCACTGAATGAAACTAAGCACCACATATGCAGAACTACAGGCCAACTCCATTACAGAAGAGCTTGATTCAGAGTCCTAAACTGGTTTATGGGTTCAAAGTTCAAACGGCAAAATGTATGTAAAACAGCTCATATACCCAGTCTCACTTTCTTACATTGAAAAAGTCAGAACACAATGATTTTATAAAGCTTGGACAAATGCGACACAGAAAAATAGGTACTGGGAGGGATCTTTGTGTATGTTGTAAAAGCCAAGAACACTGGACGTGGTTCTGAGAGGGGCAAGAAGGATCCAAGCTACAGAACTGTTTCCATTGTTACATACAGAAATCTGTAACGAATTCATTAACGATTCTTCAGCTTGGAAAAGACAATTTAGCAGAATATGAGAGAGTTTACAAAACCATAATTGGCATAAAGAACATGGATAGTGACTAACTGAGGGGAGACCTCATTGCTCTCTACAACTACCTGAAAGGAGGTTGTAGCGAGGTGGGTGTTGGTCTCTTCTCCCA